TATTTCTTATTATATCTCCAAGCACACTAAAACAAGTAAAAAATTGTCACACAAGTAAAGAAGTCTGGGATACGCTTGAAAATATATATAATAGTAAAGGTCCCGCTAGAAAAGCAACCCTGTTAAAAGAATTGATATTAAGAAAAATGAAAGACAATTACAGCATAGTTGATCATTTAAACAAATTTATGGATATTGTCGATAAACTAGCCGACATGGATATAATAATTAATAAAGATTTATTAAGTATAATGCTGCTATATAGTTTACCACAATCTTTTGAAAATTTTCGCATAGCCATAGAATCTAGAGATGATTTACCAAATCCAAATAGCCTGAAAATAAAAATCATTGAGGAAGCTGAAGCACGAAAAAATATGGCTACTCCAACTGATGGGAACTCAGAACAAGAGGTACTGTATAGCAAGCAGCAAAGAAAAAATAAGAAATATATTACTGAATGCTACAAATGTCATAAAAAGGGGCATAAAGCGAATGAATGCTGGTCAAAAGTGAACAAAACTAAAAGCAGTGCGAATTATTCCATAGAAACATGTCTAAATGCTAATAATAATAAAGAAAAAGCCAGAAAATGGTGTCTTGATAGTGGATGCACGTCACATATGACTCATGAATTGGAAAGATTCCATAATGTAGAAAAAGAAGACTATAAAACTATAAGGTTAGCTTCAGAGAACTGTACAGCACAAATTGAAGATCGAGGTTCAGTGAAACTGAACATAAAGGAAATACCTGGTCTACAACTGACTGAAGCCTTGTATGTACCGTCGCTGACTACAAATCTTATGTCAGTAGGAAAAATGACAGATAAAGGTGCAACAGTTTTATTTAAGAAGCAACAAGCAAGCGTAATGCGAAATGGTCAAATTCTGTTAAAAGCAGAAAGAAATGAAGATGGTTTATACTACGTTAAAGAAAATTTAGAAGAGAAATCCAACTATTGTGAAACAAATAAAATGCAACTATGGCATAGAAAACTAGCACACCTTAATGAGAGGCAAATGAGAATAGCTCTTGATAAGAAAAGTATGGAAGGCTTAGAATTTAATAAATCTGATACAGTTAGAGATTGTGTAGTCTGTGCTAAAGGTAAGGCAAAGAAACTACCGTTTAATACATGTAAAAATGAGCAACGGACAAATCATAGATTAGAAATTGTACATACTGATGTATGTGGTCCCATGAGACAGCCATCTAAGGGAGGTTCAAAATATTTCATCACATTCACAGATGATAATTCGAGATATACACGAGTATATACAATGAAAACTAAAGATGAAGCCCTATCAAAATTTATAGAATTTAAAAACGAGGCTGAACGATTTACGAAAAATAAAATAATATATTTACAAAGTGATAATGGGACAGAGTATATAAACAAAAGATTTGATAATTACTTAAAAGACAAAGGTATCAAAAGGAGACTTTCCGCACCATATACGCCAGAACAAAATGGATTAGCAGAAAGAAAAAATAGAACATTGCTTGATAAAGCTAGATGCATGCTGATAGACGCTAATATGAAAGAAGATTTTTGGGCTGAAGCAATTAGTACAGCTAACTACTTGGCGAATCGAAGTCCTTGCAGCAGCATTGATAATGCGACTCCGTTTGAAAAATGGGTAAAGAAAGTACCATCTGTGAGGCATTTTCACATATTTGGGGCTAAAGCATTCGTATTAAATAAAGGAAAGAAAAATGGAAAATTTAAAGCCAGAGCAACAGCTGGAATTTTCATCGGATATTCCGAAAATCATAAGGCGTACTGGATATTCAACCCGAAAACAGACAAGGTGAAAATCAGCAGAGATGTTAAAGTATTAGATAAAATGTTTTATGAGAACGAGATGAAAGAAGAAGAAAATCAAAAAGAAATTGATAAAAAGGAAATAGAAGTTATATTTTTTCCAGAAGAACATAATGAAGAAAACAATAATAAATTAATAGAAAATGAAGGAAATGGGTCAGAACATGATTTTAACAATGATGAATTATTCCTAGATGCAACTACAGAAATAGACGAAATAAATAATGACAAGTGTACAGATAATGAAGTCGAAGCAACGACTAATAGTATAAAAAGACAGAGAAAACCACCAGCATGGCATCAAGATTATGAGATGGATGCTGAGCAATCATTCCTCTGTGAAATAGATGAAAACAGTGATGAATGGGAAGATGCAATAATAAACGAGATAGAATCTCATCTTAAAAACAATACTTGGACAGTTGTACACAAGAACGAAAGCAAAAATTTAATAGATAATAAAATGATTTTGAAATATAAATATAATGCACTAGGAGAAATAGATAGACGAAAGGCACGACTTGTAGCGCGTGGATTTAATCAGAAAGAAGGTATTGATTACACAGAAACATTTGCACCTGTTGCAAAAATGAGTACTATTAGGCTACTCATTGCACATGCGATTGAAAATGACATGAAGTTATCCCAACTAGATGTGTGTACTGCATTTTTAAACGGCGATATAGACGAACAAATTTACATGAAGATGCCGAAAAATTTGGATAAATACTTAAAAATGATAATAGCAAATGAAAAAGATAAAGAATTAATAAGAAAAACAAAAGAAATGCTATTAGATATAAATAGATATAAAAATAATGGGATATGTAAATTAAATAAAGCCATTTATGGGTTGAAACAAGCAGGACGACAATGGTTCTTGAAGTTACATAATAAATTGATGGAAATCGGATTTAAGAACTCTACAGCAGATCCTTGCTTATATATTTTAGAAAAAGAAAGTGAAAAGCTATTAGCAAACATTTATGTGGATGATTTAATACTGGCATATAAATCAGAAAATTTGTTAAAAGAGGTCAAAATGAAATTACAAAAAGCTTTTCAATTAAGAGATATGGGTTCGCTACATCATTGCCTTGGCATACAATTCACCCATGTAGGGGGAGAAATGAGGTTGTCACAGACAAGTTATATTGAAAACTTAATAGAAAAATTTAACATGGGCGAATGTAAGCCGGTTTCAACGCCGATGGAAACAGGTTTAAAATTGGAAAGAGCACAAAAAGAAGAAGAAATGGAGAACATACCATACCAGGCATTGATTGGTTCTTTGATGTATCTGGCTATAGCTACGAGACCAGATATTATGTTTACAGTAAGTTATTTGAGCCAATATAATACTTGTTTTGGAAAAACGCATTGGCAAGCAGCAAAAAGGGTTTTGCGTTATTTAAAAGGCACGAAGAATGTTAGCATCAGATACAGTAAAACAGGAAGTGCATTAGTAGGAATGGCTGATGCTGATTGGGCAGCATGTACCATCCGTCGTTCATATACGGGTTACATCTTCAAGTATGGAGGTGGTCTAATAAGTTATGCTACAAAGAAGCAACGAGTTGTAGCTTTGTCAACTGCTGAGGCAGAATATATGGCAATGACTGAAGCCGCAAAGGAAGCGCTACATTTAAAACAGCTTTTGGAAGATATTTGAGTGACTACACAAGCTGTACCAATCTACAACGATAATTTAGCTGCACAGAAGTTAGCCAACAATTTAATGACTGGAAAAAAATCAAAGCATATAAGCATAAGGGAACACTTTATAAGAGACTGTGTCCAAAAGAAACTAATAACAATCCATTATAAGGACACAGACAATATGGAGGCAGATCTTTTAACAAAGGCCTTAACCCAGCCAAGGTTAATAAAACTGCTGAAGATGATAAGGGTCACTCAGACCTGAGGTGACACCCCAAGATCTTCGTGAGGGGGAGTGTCATAGAGAATACTGTCTGGCAATAAAATTTAAATATAAGAATATAATTTTGATAGATGTTGGTAAAAAATAAATGTGTCAGGTTGTGTTAATAAATTGTAAATTGAAATAAATAAAACTATGCTTATTTAAAAGGGATTTTATTAAAGATAACTCCACTGCCATAAAACTACTCTCTATAAAACTAACAAGCTAAAAAATCGCTTTTATTAGTAACGTTAAAAATCAGGCTCCAATTCTAACGTATTAAGCTTATTAAATCAAACCAAATAAGCCCAAACTTAAAGTACCTATTTGCTAGTAGCCTTTGAAGGGTTCCAATATCCACCTTTTGGCCTAACCATCATGATGATACCAAGTCACTATACTATCATCGGAAATACAAACACTTGCAAAGTTTCAACTTGATATGACAATTAGAAATTCATAAAAAAAGTCTAATTAATTCTGCTAACATACTTCAACTACTCAACAACGGAAAACTCTATGCCATGGAAAATTTTATGGGATCACCTCATAGTCTACCCTAATAGAATACAGTTTAAAGTAGCAAAATCATCAAAACCGTCTTAGGCCGAAACCGTCTCCGAGAAACTGATGACATACATAATAAAAAGATACATACAAACGAACATAGAACCTCCTCCTCTTTGGAAGTTGGTTAAAAACTCTTTACTTCTAAACATCTTGTAATAAACTCTAGGTAAGGTTACGGTGACGTAGAGCTCAAATTCTTTTTTTTTTAATTTTTACTTTCAAATGCATGATTTTTATTACAAATATATCTTAATATAAAAATTTAAGGGCCTTTACACTAATCTAAACTAATATTATAAAAGGTAAAGTTTGTATGTAGGTCATAAGACTACTGATCCGATTTTGAAAATTCTTTCACTAACACGAAGCTACATTACTAGACTTCAATTCTTCTTTCTTAATTAGCAAAATGGTCATTGACTTTTTAAAAATTAATTTCTAAGCTAGCAATCCCAACTGTATGAAATACAGGCACTGGGCACAGATTAAGCAGGTCACAAAAATATCAACCATAGAGTATATTGCTACATATCAACCATGTATGACAAATAAAACCATCAGTGTCAAGTGTCAACTGTCAATCTAAAAATTTACGTCTTCACCAAAATCATTGAATTAATTAAATTTAAACATCAAATAATGTAAATATAGGAAATTTTATTTTTCATTTAAATTAATATGTTCTCCAGAAATGTTAGGTCGGCGGCGGTACTGACTCTTTGCTGGTAAATATCGTATATTGTCAAATTTCTACTTCACTAATTCTAAAAAAAAATCATAAAATTATTGTAATTGGAATTATAAAAAAATAGTAAGTAGTTTAAATTTAATCATAGTTCAATAAATAAAAGAAACACGCTTTATTTAATTCCTTCTAAAAATCATTTAATATACTGTCTTCCAGCAATTCTACATTGTTCCAGCAAAAAGCAAGTAATTTAGGACATGTCCGACTACAACTAAGAAGCGCATTTAATAATTCGCGGCGCGGTGCACGACGGCGCACTCCTGAACCCAATCCACTAGAACTACATATAGAATCTGGTCCATTGCAAACAACGAATCTGTTCAGACCCTTTTTATTTACAGTTGGGGTAAATAAACCGCTTATTATATATTTCTAGTTTTCTTGTAGCTTGACTGATGTAATAAGCAGAATAGTGTATGTCTGTCCTCATTGAACATTTTATATCCTTGCTAAACTTCATTAGTCAGTTCCATTTAAACATAGAAAGGTCAGAAACAGAGAAAATTATTTACTTTTACTAATATTTATTAGATTGAATAATGGGACTAGTCTTGGGAATTATTGTGATGCAATAAAAAAAATTGTTTCAATAAATAATAGTTACACAATATTTACGTAATGTCTGACACTGAAAACTTGTTCAAATATGTTTGATCTATATAATTGAAATGAATTAAAATAAAAAATATTATTATAAACATATTATAGGTATCCTCTTTGAGTCTAGCTGGCTGTGTAATCTGGGAATATGAAAACTTACGTTCACATGCCACTTCTTTTCTCAAAAGACCTGGAACCTGGTTAAATTCACATCAGAAGAGAATAACTTCGCAATTTGTAAGTAATAATTTTCAGGATATTTCTACCATTAGTAATAAAAATGAGTATTTACAAACTTATGTTCTACTGAAATAACTAATAAAAAGAAATTTGAGGTTATGCTAACAAAACTTTTTAGAAATCAGAACCAGGGCCTATAAGAAAATGGTGGAATTCACTTAGGGAAAGTGAAAAAGTTTTCTACCCCATCTTAGCTGCAAATGTATTAGTATTTGGTGCTTGGCGAGTTAGGCCACTTCAACCCTTTATGGTTAAATATTTCTGTTCAAATCCTTCAGGCGGTAAGATTTCTTAATAAGTAACTTTCTTAGTAACTTAATATTTAAAATAAATAAAATATAAAGTAGTGCTTTTTATTGTTTAAATATTTATGAAAATACAAGTAAAACATCTTAAAATATCTCCAACTCAAAAAAATGGTGTTGATTTCATTTGTCAGGTTTCTATAATTTAAAAAATACTTTTATTAAGATGTTATTACATGATTTTAATAATATGTAAATTTTTTTCAGTGGCAAAATGTCTCCCAATGGTTCTGTCCACCTTTAGTCACTATTCAACATTTCATTTGGCTGCCAACATGTATGTTTTATACAGTTTTATGCCAGGTAATTTGTTTTACTTACTTTTAGTACTCCCCTTCACTAATGGTGTATTAAAGTACTTATATAATATAAAAATAAAAATTACTACATATTGTATTAAGCAAGTTTTATTTTTTCAACAGCTGCTGTGACGTCATTAGGGAAAGAACAGTTTGTAGCTATGTACCTTAGTGGCGGAGTTATAAGTAGTTTTGCAAGTTTCCTATACAAGGTTATGCTCAATCAACCTGGACTCAGTCTTGGAGCGGTAAGTATACAATGATAAATTAAAAAAAAAAAAATCCCTGGCTACATTCTTTGTTAATTAAAAACAAACATAATAGTTATTAAATAATTATTAAATAAAACAAAGTATTATACAAACATAATAGCTTGAAAATGTATTATAATTATAATATGTTAATCTATACATATAATAAAATTGTAACTAAGCTAAATCTGTACATTAAATATTTTTTGGAAAATCTTTTTGAAATAGATATTATTATGGATACAGAGGCCGAATCTATAGTTTTTAGAATTTTTGTCTGTCTGTCTGTTACCGCATCACAGAAAAACCACTGGAGGGATTTTGATTAAATTTGGTATGGTGATACCGCGGGCAATGCTAGTTTCTTCATAAATATTTAATAATTATTATTTGATATGAATGCATGCTATTAAACAATTATTATTTTACTATTCATAATTAAATTATTTGTCTGTGTTTTAGTCTGGTGCAATCATGTCAGTATTGTCATATGTGTGCATTCAATTTCCTGACACTCGGCTAAGCATAATATTCCTACCAATGTACGCATTTGCAGCTAGTACAGTAAGTTATACTTATGAAGTATTTATCTTTAATTTTAATAATAAATTCTTTTAATAAATAAATACTCTGTAAAAATTGGAAAAATTTAAGTTTAAATTATATTTTTAGGCAATTAAAGTTATAATGAGTATGGATGTGGCTGGAGTCGTTCTTGGTTGGAAGTTTTTTGATCATGCTGCTCATCTTGGCGGAGCATTGTTTGGAATGTAAGATTATTTTATAATTATATAATATCTAGCGACACCCTCGATTCACTCGGGTTCGTTTGTAGGTTGATTCCCCATACAAACTTTCATCCCCATTTTCACCCCCTTAAGGGATGATTTCCGGAATAAAAAGTATCCTATGTCCTTCTCAGGGTCTCAAACTATCTTCTTACTAAATTTCATCTAAATCGGTTTAGTAGATCCAGAGATTACCCCCTTCAACGTCACAAACTCATAAACTTTACCGCTTTATTATAATACTCGTATTAGTATAGATTACTATAACTCGCATCATCTAAAAAGAACGCTGGCTGTCAAGCTGCGCAGAAGCGATTTATCGGTCAAATTGGTGGTAAGAAACGGGGCGCGGGGCGGCGGCGCAAGCACCGCATGCTTGCCGGCGCGCTATTGGTTCGTCAGCTCGAAATACCATCGCGCACACAAAAGTTTTTAATTACGAAATGGTTTTATATATAGAAAAGAGAAAAATTATTTTTGACGTATATTGTTTTACGTATTATGCGATCTACAAGCTCTAATTACAAAACAGTTCTTGGCATAATTTGTTCTACACATAGGGACACAAAAAGTATCTTTAGAACGGGTGCAAAAAGTTGGGCATTTGAAATTAATATTGCTTAGAAGATAATCGGAATCAATTAAATTATGTATGATTTTATAAAGAAAAATTTGGTCTCTGTATTCTCTACGTTGCTTCAATGATAAAATATTTAAATTTTTAATTTCAACTACATCAAATCTATACCTCAATCGCTTTATAAATTTATTTTGCACACTCTCTACTGCTTCAATATATTTGTTATATTGCGGGTTCCACACAGTCGAAGCATACTCTAAATGAGATCTAACATATGAATTATACAGCAGATTAAATGTATGTATGCTTTTAAAATCACTAGCACTTCTAAATATAAAGCCAAGCATTTTGTATGCTTTTGTAATTATATTATTTATATGTTTATCAAATATAAGTTCAGCATCCAACAACACGCCCAGGTCTTTCACGTCAAACACTCTCTTCAGTTGTTTATGAAAAATTTTATAATCAAATATAATTGGCGCTTTCTTTCTGGAGAATGTTATAGCACAACACTTGTCGATATTCAAAAATAACCCATTAGATCTACAGTAATTCTCTAAATAAACTAAGTCATCCTGAAGTTTTGCACAATCTTCGTTTGTTTTTATAATTTTAAAAATCTTTGTGTCATCTGCATAAAGTAGTATATATGAATATATTAAAAAGAAGAGGGCCAAGGTGAGAACCCTGTAGAACTCCAGATGTAATGGGAACAAAGCTAGAGATAAATCCCTTAACAGCCACCGCTTGAGACCTGTCGCGAAGATAAGATTCAAGCCACCTTAAGAGATCACCATGTATACCAGCATGCTCTATTTTGCGAATTAATATAGAAAGAGAGAGTCTAATAATAATGCAGTTAATAATAAAAAAATGTATTAAACGTATTAATTTAATTTTTTGTAAGTAGATTAAACATTCTGCACTGAATCAAACATATTTTAATAATGAATAGAATTCTATTTAATGATATTCTATGTACTATATTTTTCAAGGTCCCTACCAAAAACTAATATATGAAGTCGCGAGCGAAATGCTATGAAAAATAAAATAATAGGCTTAGTACTTTTGTGCGCGAGTATACCCATGCGCAAACATACCCTCTCCAGTTTCTTCCAGCGTTCTTTTTAGATGACGCGAGTTATACGGGACTTTAAACGCTTGAATTTGTTAGTGGATATATTATTCCCGACGTTTCAACTGGGTTGCACCAGCCATGGTCATGAGCAGACTTTTAATATCAATGTGTATAATACGATGACTATTGATTGCTGTTATGTTTCATGTTAAACTTTTAGAGCTTGGTGTCACTGGGGAAATTTCCATGTATGGGGCAATAGAGACAAATTCCTGCAGTATTACCATAGCCTCAGAAAAGATTCAAGATAGTTTCTTCTACAAACATATTTTAATAAATGTTATAAATATTTTAGAAATTCTATATGAGAACAATTTTTTCAAAAAATAAAAGCATTGAAAATTCTAGATGTTTCATTTATAAAAAAGAAAAACATATTTTTATATATAACAATTTTAATATGTATAAAAAAATTGCTTATAAATGCACTTTGTACCTATACATAGAAAATAATATAAAAGAACAACAGAAACTTTGCAATGTCATATTAAACTCCAAATATTTCATTTTCATACATACTACATGTACACCATATACAGTACATATACACTATATACAGTACAAAAATCTTTTGTATAACTATTTTCATAAATTGCTTTGTTTTGATAAATTAAAATTTAACAGTTTGGGTTTAAGCTTTCAGTATTTTTGCATGGAAATCGAAATGTTCTCCAATGTATGTAGCAATGAAGTAGTAAGAATGATCATAGTCTTCACGCAGGTTCAAAATGATAGGTACTCCAGCAGAGCGACAGGCTTGCACTAAGTTTTCTGGCAGCAATTGTTTTTCAACATAAAACTTGTCCGCAGCACCCTGAAATAAAATTTTGTTCATAATATCCTCAAATAAAACTCGTTTTAAACATTTAATTAGTAAAAGTATCATTTTGCATTGTAGGCATACATCATATTTGTGTTAGAGGGCAAAATCAAAATAACATAACTGTTCACTATTATAGTCAAGTAGTAGCATATTAAACAAATTAGGTAAATAATATTTTTTTTACTTAATAAGTATAAGCCATATTAAATAAAATAAAATTATAACCTGGTCAATAAGGAAGGTAAGTGGGGGGCCATCATATTTCTTGACAAGCTCAGTAGCATCCCACTCTACCCACTGGCTCTTATCTTCCCCTAAATATCCTGAAAATGCCTTTTCTCCCCATGGACACTGAGTTGGGTTACATATAGGAGCAAAAGCACTCACTGATTTATATAAACCAGGATTTCTTAATGTAGAAACTAAAGCTCCATGACCACCCATGCTAAAATATAAAAAATGTTATATTTTATTAATACATAGGTTAATAGTATATTATTAAGTTGTTTACGAAAACATTGTAAAATATAATAATATTACTGTTGTATGTATGAAAGACTAACCTATATCACAAAACTTTTTATTGTAAAATAAATGCTTATATACATAAATTTTGTAAAATTTAATATAATTGAAAAAAAATAGGAAAAGAAATATAAAACCTTTAGCAATTAAACTCTTTGAAATGTCATAAAAAAGAAACTAAGTATAAAACCTCTAAATAAGATTTTATTGAAGATGAAAAGAGTGAAGATGTGTCTTTTAACACCTGCATTTTTTGTATAGGTCAAACAATGCTATAAAATTTACATTCACCTAAGGTTGTTTTTTTTTCCTATGGAACAAATTACCATAAATAATAATTGTATAAAATATAATTGAAGTTACATTACATTAAAATAATAGTGCTTTACCTGTGGCCCATAATTCCTATACGACTTGGATCAACATTGTTGCTAAATGCCTGAAGAATTAGTTCATATAATTCCTTATTTAAATAACTGGCCATTTTATAGTTTTTAGACCAGGGATCTTTAGTTGCATCGAGGTAGAAACCTGCTGATACACCAAAGTCCCAAGACTCATCATCACCAGGTATCTTGACTCCTCTAGGAGAAGTATCAGGCCCCACAACTATGATACCATGCTCAGCTGCATATCTTAAAATAGCAATGTAAAAATATTACAATTATTACCTATATATTATGCAATTATTACCTACATTATAGCCTATAAGTAAAGGCATGATAAAATATAATCAGTTACATAACTTGTCAATAAAAAATTATACATGTGAGGTTAAAAGGGTGATAGATAAAATACATTTATCAAAAACTAAATCGGTTTTTGTCACTTTTTAGCACTAACTCCATTACAAGAGTATTACTTACAACTTTTTTATATTAATGAACTCTTTAGAATATTTCCCAGTTCTGTGTATGAACAGCAGAATATGACAAAAAAATATTATGATAAATACAAATTTGCCATAGAATTTTGATAAAATCTTACCTTTGAAATCCAGATTTTGATATAAAATTTTGTTCATTGCAAGTGAGACCAGACAGATAATATACTAATGGTAGCTTCACATCACCACCTTCTGCTTGAGGTGGAAAATAAATAGAGAAGTTCATTTTGCATAGCAATTCTGAAGATTGGTGGGAATACACTTTCTGGTACCCACCAAATATTTTATTAGATGATACCAATTCTAAGCCTTCCATTGTATTACTGAAATATAATTTTTTTTTTTACTATGTTTATTACAGTATAAAAATTATTGTACAGTAAGTATATTTAATATTGTAGTAGGTACAATTTCATGCGTCATTATCAAAATATATTAAATCAATAATAAAATTTTAAATCCTCAAAATCATCGTTTATATAATTTAATTACTGTTTTATCAAGCATTTTAAATCATGGGATTTTTCTAGAAGACATTATCTAAACTTGAAACAGCTTTACTGCTGTCCGTGAAAGAGATGCAAGTTATATTTCAACATAAAATATTGTTTATTAGCTTCACGCAGAGATCAAATGTTTTAATAACTTATAATAGTTGTAATAATTGCTGTGCTACGTGCCGGTAAAATGTCCGATAAAGTTTTAAATAAAATAATATATACAAACTTAGTTATTGTACCACACGCTTTAACCACAAAATTACATTACTACAATTACAAAGTGAAATAATAATATATATTATAATATATTCTTAAGGGACAAGAGACAACTTCTAGAGTAAAAGTCCTGTTGAAAAATAATTTCATATCACCTACACTGAATAAATAATTTATACTATTATATACCTTAATTACTTTCAACTTAATTGATTCCTAATTAATCTTTTAATCCAGATTCCGTATCGTTAATCGTATGGAAGTCTATAACCTCTCACCAACACTCGAAACCGATTACCCCATAGAGTATATTGCTACATATATAAAGATTACCCCATAGAGTATATTGCTGATTAGTTAGTTGATTACCCGTTAACGAATGTCGAATAACGATACCTACCGAAATTCCGAATCATGAATGACAAATGACAATTGGAATTGACAAATAAAGCTGAAAGCAGTGTTACCATTTAGTATTTACCAACTCAAACTTTAAAGTTTGTGTCGGAGATATATCTCGGAGATATTATAGATATGATTTCAGAAGTTGGTACTTTTCTACCAATCCTACTTTGAAAAGTTGGTAGATCCACCACCCATATTTGTTTAAGTTTTCTAGAGACCTCACAATAATAATATGATACACATAATTAATGTTTCCATTGGATAACAAATATTTCACCTCTTTTATAAGGAACCCCATGTGAAAGCAGAATCATTGCTCAATTCCCAAAATAAAACTCGAAAAAAAAATACTTGAGCCTGAAGACAATTTATAGCAGTGAGTGATAATTGATAATTCACTTGAGATTCTATGATATATTATTATCAGAATCAATTAATGTAAGATCTTAAATACAATAACTTTGAGAGCATTTTTTTTTATTTTTCTATAATAAAAGTAATTTTGAGTTGCGAAATATTTCATGGACTACTTACTTCGATTTTGAAATATAACAATATAAAATAATATGACTTTTTTACTATTTTATTCTTTGAAAGCATACATTCATTGGAAATTGAAGGCATTAATATAATTTTTATGGACATAGATTTTTCAAAAATTTGAAAAGTAGTTTTTTTTCCCACAGTAAAAAGTATCCTATATGTTGACCCGGATAATCATCTATTATCATACCAAATTTCGTCAAAATCTGTTCAGTAGTTTTCTCATGATGCGTTCCCAAATACAGACAAAAATTCTAATTTCTAAAAACTATAGATTCAGCCTCTGTATCGATAATAATTACTATTTCAATAAGATTTTCCAAAAAAGATTCAATTTACAGATTTGACTCAGAATTCTATTATATGTATAGATATCTGTTGCATTCAGTTTAAGACATAGAACTGTGAAAATATTGTTATTTGGGTTTGGACAATTATTATTATTTGGGTTAAATGAAAATAAACTATTAATATTATTTAAAAAACATTTATTTAAAAAAAAAATCTTGTAGTACCTTGACCACATCCATAGATTATACACTTATATACTGGACCACATCAGTACCATAGCATCTATTTATGTAAATATGTAAAATTACTAAGAAAATATATTATAGTTCCTTAGTAATTTTGTTTTAAGATTTTATAACAAAACTGTACCATTTGGTTTAGAAAAGTTACACATCAATTTAGAACTATTTAACGTTTATTATTAAGTTTAAATAAGAATTTGTTGAGCTAATCTCATTATTGCTCATAAGACAAAACTTTTGTGCTTCGTAAATACTGATTAGCATATATTTACTAATGGAATACTTCTAGTTAAATATCTATTATAATAGGAAGAAAATAGTTAGGAATTTTGGAGAAAATGACTTGCTTATTCAAGTAACCTTTTATGATTAGTTTTCCAAGATAAATATGTATTCCAAAACAGTGCTACTGATTGCACAAGCAATACTTGATACTGAAGTGGAATATAATAAAAGTTAATTAATTGAACCCAAGGCCATATGTAGTAATTAGTTTGTAAAACATCAAAATAATTAGCAAGGACATCTCCTTTTATTGATTCCCATGATTTGCCTTGCATTGTACCAACAGCAGTTAAAATGAAGAATAAAAATGCAGGAGCAAATATGAATTGATCAACAAATACTTTTTTAATTGCCACAGTTTTTCCATGTGATCCTACTTGTTTACTTAATAAACCATACCATGCACGCAATGCTGGTCCCTGTAAAAGAATTATTTGTATTTTATAATACAACATAATATATAATTGAAGAGTTAAAAATATAGTAATATATTAAATAATACTTACACCTACAAAAAAGCCAATAGATGAAAATTTAAGAGTTCGTTTATAATCTATATGTTTTAAAGCTTTGTTTTCAATTAAAGATTGTGAAATAAGATCTCCAGCACCCATTAGTGTGCCTGTTTGAACAGCCTGTACTAGATAAGGTCGTTTATTGAGAAGTTTTTGGTAAAACTGAAAAAATCCACGAGCTTTCTTCATAGTAAAAATCATACTTTCATATTTTATATATTTATATAAAATTAAACTTTCCTAAATTTAAGTAGGAATAAAATTTGTGATTAGATTAATAAATATTGTAACATACTATGTAGAGTTCTTTTACTTTAAATTGATACTTTCTTTAATAGCCGAATTGGATTTTAGATAAGCTATTTTTCAACTCCTTTAGTCGGCTTAGCTGATTTACACTTTATTATTTATATATGTAGCAATATACTCTATGTTTATAGGTAGGTAAATAGTTTTGTTGTTTGTGGCTGACAAGTGACATATACAATTGACATTAATTATATAGACAATAAATCACAGATAACAGATTTGAGATTAATCAATAGGGAGATCAGAGTCCGCGACGCGCCACGACTGAAGTCCTACGGCAAAATCATAGAGTATATTGCTACATATATAAAGGCAAAATGTAGAACTAAATTTGACCCTTCTGCCACCTTGCGTTTGTCAGGAGTGTTTGTGAGTGTGAATTGTAAATTGTTGTTATTAAGTGAAATATCAGCAATAATGGAGCCACTTTACGTTGAAAAGTGCAGCCCGTGAAATAATCCTTAAACTGAATGAATTTTGTAATTTAGAACAGTAGATTAAGGACTTATTAATCCCGGTAAATAAAGTGCAGATCACAGATTAAGTATTAGTTACTACGTAAGCAGATGAATGTCAATGTCGCCGCCATGACATATATTTTAGGGTTGCCATAACCGGTCATTTTTGCCTAATTTATGCATAATATATTGTTATCAATAACTGCAACTATAAATTAATGAAGGGCCCGCTTTTTCAAATGGATGACAATTTTCAATGCAAGCATATTGTAATAAATGTTGAAGACCAATACTTCAAAAACTATGGAAATATTGATGTGAAAATGGCGAGATACATCATATCTACAGAAAGGGATAACGACAGTGAGTCTGAACACAATAGTGAACTTATGTATATGAGCGACAGCGACTGCAATATGTCCAGAATAAAACCTCTTAGCCAAGAAGAGTATAATTATTGTACAAAATGACATAATAAATACGAAATAAATACAAAATATTTGTTTTATTTCTCAAAAAGTTCGTAGGGCAATTTCCAGGAATCTTAGTTATGTCCTATTCGAATGAATGTAAAAATTTACATAATTATTATTTAATGAAATCAAAAAAAGTTCAACTTCGAGTTATATTGCTGGCAACATTTGGTTCTGCGTTAGCAGCGCCGCGTCTATTGGAGTTAGACTTCAATGGTGGCCCGTGCGCGGACTCTATGTGACAAATATCAATGTGAATGAAGGCTACATAACGCTAGGTACTTAATGCCTATTTTTTCTGGTGGCATCAGCTAGCGCCACTGGTGAGTAAGGTCCTATTGCTGTCGTTGAAAAATATTTTTAGTGCGGCTGGGCTAATAAATTTAATGTAATAATAATAATTGATAGCGCGAAAACGGTTCTATCAGGATTTCAAATATTTAGTCGTAACCAAATAAATAAAATATTGACTTTATCTTAACTCTTATTTTAAACCAATAAGATTTATTGCACGCTATAGAGCTTATATTGAGGATCAAATATAATCAAATATATGCAATATACTGAGGATCAAAGGGATCGCTACATCTGATGGGAGAAATGGCAAAATTCTTCCCCATTCTATGCTTATTGAAACTAAATTAGGCAGCACTTTATTAGCTTTCACAATCATGGATGATTAATAAGTCGCAATATTTTTACATACTAACGATTCGCTTCGCTCGGGTTCGTCCCTAGCTTGCTTCCCCATACCAACTTTCATCCCCATTTTCTCTCCCTTAAAGGATAATTACTAGGATAAAAAGTATCCTATGTCCTTCCCAGGGGCTCAAACTATCTTCTTACCAAAATTCATGAGATATTGCCCCTATAACGTCAAAAACTCACAATATCACAAACTTTACCTCTTTATAATATTAGTATAGATAAGCGGCGCCACAGAAATCATTGTCTTCCTAAATAATTTATAATCTGTAGTACTACCATCGAAATTTATACTGTTAAATGTTATCTGTTAGTTGTAAATTCGATTTCGAGCTTGCTACAGTACATATAAAGATTAATATTTAATCTGTGGACTGTGGTAAATTCTAAAAGAATAAGGAAGGGAGAAGATTGTGAATAACATCGGTTTAATGATTTTCGTGAGCCCGTAATTATTACGCCTTTATTTTGTCATCTTTTCAATATTTAAAAATAGAAGTGTAATATGGATAAAAGGAAATTATCCACTGCTGGGGACAGCCTGTATCAAATATTGCAGGTACCTAAAACTGCAACCGCCGATGATGTTAAGAAAAGTTATCGTAAATTAGCGTTGAAATATCATCCGGACAAAAATCCTAACAACCCAGATGCATCGGAAAAATTTAAAGAAGTGAACAGAGCTCATACTATATTAAGTGACGCTACAAAAAGAAATATCTATGACAACTATGGCTCCTTGGGATTGTACATAGCTGAACAATTTGGAGAAGAAAACGTCAATGCTTACTTTGTTGTTACCAGTACGTGGTGCAAAGCTTTATTCGTTGTTTGTGGTATCTTGACTGGATGCTACTTCTGTTGCTGTTTATGCTGTTGTTGTAATTGCTGCTGCGGAAAATGCAAACCGCGCCCTCCAGAAGAATCTGGTGATTATCACACATTGGAGCGTGATGATTCAGACGGCGTTCAGCCAGTCACGATGCAGCCAGGAGGGGAAGGCCGTCCTACAGGCGAGCAGGCGCCACCCATCGCCATGCCGGCGCCGGCACCGGCACCGGGTGTTTCTGAAAACACAGGCCTCAACACAGGTGGGGTTAATTATGGAATCTCACATTAACATTTTTCATTACCATAAATGATGATTGCTGTTCGTAACGCATATTTATACTACATTTTTATTTAATTTAATCATGTATTTGAAAGAAATAATGATTGTTTTTTTTTTCAAACAAGTTTTGGTTGGTGTATAATGATATTGTCTTAGCTAAGTACCATTCCTTTACATTGAATATGTAATAATATGTAGGATAATAGATGAATACACCAATTTTACTCCTTGACCATTAAAAATGTTACATATTTGTTATCTAATCTATAGCTTAAGAAATCTTATACTCAAATGTGTTATGCTGATAGCCACACTAATACTATAACAAATTTTGAATATAAAAATAATAAGAGCAGGACATAAAAAAATGGGTAAATCTTATCTTATCTTACCCTGAATTCTGAAAATTATAATTTTTCACTACATTGTAGAATATCAATAAATACTTAATTTTAGTGCTTATTTGACTTTACAGAAAAGATGCAAATAAAATAATGTATATTAATTGTATTATGTATTTTATCTATTTAAAAACATAAATCACCATATAATAATCTTAAATGATTATTTATTTATTTCAAGGATTTAATTAGTAAATAATTGTTTAATAATAATTAAGAATTTAGTAGTCATTTCCATTCACAAATTGAGTAAGATATTGATATTTTGTCTCTATTATGTAAGCTTATTGAGCTTCTTATATCGCACACCTAGATCTAAACAGCGATTGACTCAAAAAAACACTTTATTCAGAAAACATGAAAAACTGATTACCGAATCCATGTACCCAGAAGTTTTCTGTATTGATCAATGTTTTTTAAATTAAAATAGATGAAAGATGTTATAGGAATCTTGTGTTTCAGTTCTATATTAGGCCTAAATTGGATTTTTGTAGTTGTTTCTGTATTGCTTAACAAATTGAAAGTTTATTTTTTGTTATTTGTAGTTGAACCTGTGTTGGTAAATTTAGTGTTTAGTTGTCTCTCTTTTGAAGAGTCATTATAAATTTAAAATGGACAGCATTTTGAATGTATTTATACCTGACTAATAGAGGGTCTGAGACCAAAAGTAGGGGTAGATTGGCTGATTGTTAGGAATTAGGAAGAAAACACTGAATTAAGTACTCAATCAGACAATATTTTTTTATTAATAATTAAAAGTATAATTTAAAAAAAAAAATTTGAGTGTCGTAGGTACTACGAATTCTTTCTGCTTTTCAAGATTTACGAATTCCCTAAAATGCATCAAAAAGCCATTGCCTTGATAGTTCATCCACCTAATTTACTTTACACTACAGTGTACTAGTAGTGGCTACAGCCAACATTTTTCTCTGACACTTATTTTTACACATTTCTGGTTTATGTACTCTTTTTTTTTGTTCTTTTTTTGTTCTGTCACGGGCTGTTAGGATTTTTTTTCAGCAACCATTGCATTAATACTTTCTTATATTTACGCGAATATTTGACATTTTAAATAAAACTATCTTCTAATCTAAATCTAAGAGACCGAGTCTCTCTCGTGACCATGATTGCTATAAAGCATTCGAAACGTCGGGAACCAATAATCAATATAAATTCGCGAAAAAATCCGAAAAGATAGTTTTATTTAAGCCCATTGCATTCTGAGAGTCGAGTTGTACATGCGCACTATCATCTTTGGTATCCGACGAACTACCAGAACTTGATGAGCTACTAGAGCTGCTACTATTGGTGCTGAACGAAGACAACGATGAACTAGTAAGAACGACTTTAGATGATGTCTTTTTTTATGAACAAATCCGAAATTGGGATCTGAGTTGTCAATTTCGCTTTCGTCACTTCGGATTGGTTGTCATTTCAGTTGTTTAGATATGATCGGATTAGATTTATCGGCCACGGATATGCTTGATGATATCCTTATGCAGTCTTCTTGCTGTTGCTTATTTTGTAGTACCGTCTTCTTCTGTATTGTTGGTTCAAGCTCTTGGTATAAAGGACTAGTATCTCGTTGCATATTTTCATATTGAGTCAGTAAGCTAGGGCCGATATTTTCTGTGTCCCTTGCTCAACCATATTTACTATAAATGCTCCACGATCCATTCTTTTTCTAAAAAAAAGTTAAATTAAACAAATAAATCTGATCCGTTACACCACATCGATTTGATGAACCCAATTACGTCTGCGAACTGATGAACTTCGATATAGTGGAATTTTATATAGCGTAGCCCATCTAAAAAGCTCTAACTTGAAAAATGTTTATTAAAACACAACAAGCTTTGTAATGACTAGGATAAAAATAAAATAATATTTAGATGAAAAGACTCCAATCACCACTAGCAAAAAAGTTAAGGGTTTAAAAAATGACTCAACAAAAAAGACTCAACATAAAATTTAAAAATGTTTCAACGACACAACAACAATTCTAAATAAAAACGAAAACTTTACTCACTTTCCTATGAACACTGGTTCAAGTCAAAATGTTGCTTTATTTTACTTAGCACTAACCATCAAAATGGCGACAAGTTTAATAATGTTTTTACAATTTTCTGGTTTACCTCAACAATACAGAATTAACTCAAAATAACTCCAGTTTGTTTACGACAGGTACATGCATTTCGCGTGTAATACTGACAGTAACTAGCTATGTTCCTGTTTTGGTGTAGGAGAATTGGGCTCTTTCATACAACAAAAAGAGGTTTTAGTGTCACCTAGGATTGAGAAATGTAACTATTTTTGTATCTGCTTTATTGGTCGCTAGCTAGTAAGTTAAGGAACCCGATGGTATGCGTAACTAAAAAGATGAGATTTTTGAATTAGCTCTGTTTAGATCTAGGTGTGCGATATATGCATTATGAGATACTGTTGCTGTAATCTTGTGGTTTAATTAAAAACTTCATTTATTTGTCAAAATTATCAAAATATAATAAACATTCCAAGTTCTCGGCTACTTACTTTGGAAATATTTAAACCAATATATTGTTATATAAAAGCTTTAAAAAACAAGTTATTGATGTTGTATTAATAAAAGCAAAAATTTTAAAACAAAAGTTATATAATTCTCTTTTTAACCATGCAAATCTATTCAAGAATTTTTAAATATTTATGCAAAATAATATTTTATTTATTACAAATAAATATTTAATTTTAAATTTAATTTTGTTGTTGGTAGAGCTAATTTCTCATATACAAATAATTTGTATATTTAAAGAAAATTTTCATAAATTGTTACCACAGTGAATGCTAGTAAGACCCTAAATTTTAGTGTTGTAAAATCAATACATGGCAGACAATGTTACTTGGGAGTTGAGACAGTTTGTCAATGTAATGGCAAATATATGTTGTGTTCTTTCTTTAATATTACTGTAATTAAAATTATTATATAACACATTATTAAAGTAGAATGAAAAAGGTAAATTGTGAAGAATACAACAATTTTCTTTACTGTTTACATTTAATTATGATAAAAAGATAAGTTTTCTTCAATTTTGCTTGTTTGTGATGTGCTGCTAATTATCATTTCAGTACTATTAATCTCTAGCCATTTTAATATTTAAGTTTAACTTTTACGATTATTAATTATACGATTATGTTTATTTTTAACTTAGAAGATAGTTACTCTTGAGATTAGGATTTAACTTATAAAAATGTTGTTTTCACCATTGCCTACATTAAAAACTTCATAAATCATATGGAATTGACAAGAAAATAGAAGATAATATTACTAAAAGCTAAAGTATAACTTAATATGGTAATATCTATTGTTAAGACTAAAAGCATATGTTGGTTAGAATGCTAGTTTTTAGAGTAAATTGTCCAGTATTTCGTTAGATATCTATCTGTCTTTAATGCAAGTCATTAATATTAAGTTTATGGATAAGTAGTCTGCAGGTTTTGTGTTATAATTGGTGGTAGCAGGATTGTATTGTGTAATATTAAGGGCATGGCTTATCATATAATGTTACAATGTAATATAGGTAAAAACTGGTGTATTTTTTAAATTATTTTAGGTTTTTTTGAAATTTACAATTTTAAACTTTTTAATGTTGGCCTCTTTAAGATCACCACACATGTGATGAGGTTTCGCTTGCAAAAATATTTATTCACTTTTGAAATTGTAGCAATTTTATAATTATAATGTAAACTATGATAGGGACGATCCAAACATTAGATAGTCAAAAAAAATGAATGCTTCTTTTATTGCTTTGTGATAAAGATGTACAGTATACATTATTTTGTTATAGCCATTTCGTAATAGAAAAAAAATACAAGGGTAATTATTTATGTCTTCATACAATGTTTGTGTATTTTGTATTTAAAGTTATATATAAACTTAAAACTGATTACAACACATCTTTACCATGTGGTAGTAAAAGAGCAATAACGATAACAAGGGGACTTTTTTATATTACGTAGCTATTACGAAGAAAATTAATCATAATCAATTATACTATTTACTTAATGCTAGTCTTCATTTTCTAAAATTAGCAGTCGTTCGTCGAAAAATGATTATAACCCCGCCGTCAGCACTCAGCCGTGTAATATATAAAAGACCCTCTAGAAGTCCTAATCAGTTGGATGACGATAAGTAAATTTTTTATTGTTGCATAGCTAATTATATTGTAATTCGTAATGTATGTAGCTTTTACTATAGACAGATTGAATTCCTATACACTTATTCTAATGTTATGAATTATAATACTAATCAACGAGTATTTATTATAATGAGTGTCGAGATATGAAGATGTTAAATTGTAATTACACCTCATACTTTCAATCAAATAAATTTCTGCATAACAAAATGATTATCATTAACTTTTCCAGTGCCTTTTTATAATTTAATTAAAGCGTTTTAATTGGTAAATGAAATAAAATATAAATTTTATAACTTTGTTTATTTTCAGGGAGCAGTATTCCAAAATACACATGAAGTGTTTACAGCTAGTCTAACGTAATTTGTTAAGAGAAATGAGGAACTGACTACTTATTACCACCAACATGACAGCTTCTTACTGATGTAAGCTTACAATTATTTTTATGTTTCCTTTGATATATTTTTTATGTTTTGTGATTTAATAAAAAAATTTTGATAATTTTTTTATATAATTTATATTGGACATGTATCTATTGTTACATGGATTTTTTATTTAAGACCCAAGTATTTTTCTTAATTTATTTTTGTCGTTATAATATCTTTAAAAGACAAAGATTATAATATATTAAAAAGAAGTAAAAATTGATTGGTATTATCAATAGTTAATGTAGTCACAATATTATATTATATTCCCTCTTCTTATTAATGTTTAAATAAGCTTAAGCCTAAAGCTTTTGCAGTCACATTGTATTGATATTCTATAAAGGTAACTCGTATTTCTAATAAACACCACTAATAAATTGTACTACTTAGGGTTTTGAAATGATGCCATTATAAAAAGGCCTAATGTACTAAACATAGGCCTGATGTTTTTGTGATATACTAGTTTACTTATCAATTATCACTCAGTATACAAATTGTCATTAATTGTATACTATTCTACAACATATTGCTTAGCTTCATGTTTAGTTCTATGACACTCTATCTATAATATTCCTTATTTTGAGGATATTACATATTTTTTATGATATCTTATGTCTTATGAAAAAAATGTGAATAAATCAAATTATTTCTATTTTATTTTTGAATTGGTACTTCGTGTTAAATGTTAGCTAATCTGTGACTATAAGGCGAAAATATCATTATCATTGGTTAAAGAAAAAACCGATGGCATGAACCCATAGATAGAGCAAGTTGTTAATAAAATGTAATATTATAAAAGTTAAAATGTTCATCACTCCTGTTCTATTTGTACATTATAATCTTATATGCTTGTATTAATAGATGTCGCCGCCTGTATGTTAGCTTTTAAAAGTATTTGTTGAAGATGGCCTTATCCAGACTCAAATGTATAGATAAAATAAGAAATAATAAAAGTATAACCCTGAAAATGTTCTTTTTTGATGATTACAAATCGCTGGAAAATATTATTTTATGGCATTTCCGTTTAAATATGTAATTGTAAAGTTAGGTGAAACTTTTATATTAGGTTAAAATTAACTTGTTTATTTAACGGTGAAAGTAAGTTTAAAGAAACACACTAAAGAATGATGATAGAATTATGAATGCTGCGTGCACATTCCTATTCAGAATATATAAATACAGATCAAACGAATCACTATATTTATAATGGACTTCATTCAAGCCACTTGAAGCGCTTGAGAAGCTGTACGATACAAGGTCGTGTGTAACTTTGTGTTTTAATAAAAACTGGTAAAAAATGTTTTCTTTTATAAAACTAGTTCCAGTACGGGTTTGATGAATATTGTAATTATTTTCAAATTAAAATGAATGTATTGCGTGATACCTAGTGTGGTATAATGAATAGTAATATAGAGACTAGTAGCGAAACCGGTATTTACTCGTAGCTTTGCATAAGATAGGTGTACTCATGTGTCGTCTTAATGTGAAAATAAATATACATTAAAATATAAATAATCTATTTTCCTTTTTTAATAATAATTTCGTTTACCTGAATTTAAATATGTATATATTATGCCTTTTCCAATGATTAAAATATATACAGTACAAGGTAAGTATCTATAGGAACTTTTTTGTCGAAAATTCAAATTCATTATTAGTTTCTTACATAATTTTATTTACTTACCATCCCAATTTTTTTGATAAAAATAAATCATTGACCTACTTGCATACGCTTAGTTACCTTGAAGTCTAATAGGCTGATAAAATAACAAAAAATATTTTGATCAGTGTCAAGTTGTATCATAAAAAGAGAACTTTTTGTGTGATACAAAAATGGAAGATACATCTTTGTGTACAGTTATAAAAAAGAAACTTAGATAAGCAAAACCTTTCCTATACCGCGGAATTATTTAGAACTACGTGTAACGTAGGCAGAGGCCAGAGAGACAAACATGTTAATAATTCGATTTTCCCGCGGCTATTGTCGCTACTCGCGATCGCCTTTTTCTAGTCGGTGGCCTTATGCATTTATGATGATGTGGGGCTCACCGGCTAGAAGAGCCGGTACTACCCACTAAAACCCGACATTCCCCTCCCCTCCGCCTTAATGGGACGCCGCAGGATCGCTTGCGCATAACTACTACGGCGCCCCGGCGGCAGGTCTGCCTAAGCGCTAGGCAGACCACCAAACCAATGGGGCTGCTCCACAGTCAACTCTGCTACGCCAGAGAGGTACCCGGAGCAGCCCCATTAAACCTAACCGTGGGCCACCTCCAATCGGCTGCAGAGGACAGGGAGAGCGGCAACGAAACACCGACACTCCTCTTCCCCTGCAGCCCCACCGCGTCCGCCATCAAACGGTGGCGGCCCCGTCTAGGCCGCGGAAGGTAGGGAGAACGGCGCACCGAAATACCGGCACTCCTCTCCCGCCGCGGCCTACTCCTCCGCCGGATGCGGGCCTGCGACCACAGTCCACCCATCATCCGGTTGTGGGACCAAGCGGTCCCACCACCGGTGGCCGCAACGTCTTCGGCTCGAGTCCTAGACGAGCGGCCCCACCCAAGCCATTTGGTCCGCGCCGGATTTCTCCGGTACCACCCGCCGCCCTAAGCGGGTGGCATTCCCCTATCCGCCACCTGGGGACGCGCCCGGTAGGAGTTGGCTTCTCCCCAGTCGGTGGCCTTGGTTATCACCAACCAATACAATTCTAAAAATTATGGGAATGACAGGTATTATATGAGATAATATGCCTTTTTTTTATTTTCTGATAAGCTAAAGCTTAACTTTTCTGTTCTGTCGATGTCAATTCAATGTTGCTAAAAAAGCTTGCTTCGGCCTAGTGTTGCCGAAGTATCGATAGTGAAACTATCGATAGTTTTCATCTGAAACAGGCCTACTATCAATAGCTATATCGATAGTTCGATATGCGACAATACTGTAAATGGAGGGCAATGATATCGATAGATTTCTGCTAATGAGTAATAAACTATCAATAGTATTGATAAAATCGATACTATCAAACTACTAAAAAAAAAACAATATTATCAATAGAATCGATACTATCACTACTGTTGAGTTTTGGACCATCGATAGTTGTTAATTTTTCGATAGTATTAGGTAAGTTTTAAAAGCAATGTAATTAGATGAAAGTCCTGCGAACTGTGCACAATACTATCGATAGCAGAAACTATCGATAGTTTCGCTTGCATCGATATTTATTTTGAAACTTCAAAAGTATCGATACTGTCAATAGTTTAACATTTGTGACCACCGATATATCGATAGTATTGTGGTCTCTCAATAGTATAGTCACATTTCCATCTATCGATAATATCGATAGAACTACCGATATTCTGATGGGCTATGCTTCGCCAAAGTCACGGATGGTAGAAAACAAGGAGATTGATCGGTAATGTTGTCTAAGCTTGCTGTACAAATATATCTATAATAATTAGCATTTATATAAAATTCTTTGTAAAGTCTATTCAACAGATTTCAATGAATTAAAATATTACTGACGATTCCAGAAGTGCTATTGGCTATGTTATATTTGATTTTTTAAATTTGGAAGTGGGAGAAGCTGAGCTATGTCTGTAATGCTGCCGGTCGCGCGAACGAACGAACGGGCATTATTTTACATTATTTTAAACTTAATTTTGATGTAATCCTAGCCTATATATATATATATATATATATATATATATATATATATATATACATACACATACCTATGTATATTTACCTATATACAAATGCGTCTATGTATGTTCCCTATGGACTCTAAAATGACTGGAGCGATTTTGATGAAATCTTCAGTCTTCAGATAAGACCAGCGGGTGGTCCTGTGAAGTTTCGTAGCGATCGGAAGTTTGAACGCGGGCGAAGCCGTGTGCACTGCTAGTAGGTATATGTATATAACCGACACGCGACATTATTATTAAATAATGTCAGTGCCAAGTGTTTTAGAAGTATTTTTTGTCAGTCTGATAGTTCCGGTAACCTCTGGCTTTCTGAACTGATTTAAGAGGACTTAAAGACATGGCTACTTTATTCCAGAAAGCAAAAAAAATAATAAGATTAGTACCTAGAAGAAAATAAAGGAAATTTAATGTCTGTGACATAAACCTATAATTTCCAAGCCGATTTGGGATAAAGAATTAGTAGGTTTTATGAGGTCGATAACCAATATGTAATATATAACATAACTATCATATTAAAACAGGATGTTTACAAACGTGCATCTAAATTAAATCTAATCACAAATTCAGATTAGAGTTTACGATTAATAATGACGAATTTTTAAACTTCCATGTACACCTTTATCTTCAGGATATGCTTACTTGATATAAATAAAGTACCAAAGTAAATATAACTTTATTATAAAAGCCACATTAGCACGGATGGACCGATCCAGCTGTTTGAAAACTACAATGTAACCGGTAAACATGACAGTTGAACTTATAATATTTTTGTGTCAGAATATGTTTGTGTATAAATATTTGGATACCTAGCAGTGCTTACTTGAATAAAATACAAGAAACAAGCTTACGCTGTTTTTTTTCTGCGAAAACGTTGATAATTTTAACCATATAGGTACAGGCTCACATCTTAGTGTATATTTCGGAAAAATAGCCCGGATAATATTACACGAGCTATTGGGGCACGTGACCACTTTACTACCTATTACCTAATTTTACCCTGCGTAGAAGTCTATTAGTAAAAACTTATGTCTTAAATTTAAAACGTATTACATCAGCCTGTTGACCTCAATTAGTGTAGTGGGCATACGGCATACCCACAACGATGGATGCGCGCTTGGTTTAAAAAGTGGTCCAGAAACTTATTATTTTCCATGCGAAAGCTATTCTTAGCAACATTCAGGACTCGAACTCATGATCTCACAATGTGCAACCTTACATGTCAGCCACTAGACCAATAATGCGTACTTTGCAAACAAACGAGTGAAAATACTCGTACATTGTCTTTACAATTATATTTTTATTAAAACCTTCAGTGTGCATTCTCATGTAGTTATAGCCTATAGGTACTCATCGCCAGAAATTTAGTGACCTATTTCTGTTACTTAAGATTATGTAAACAGCCTTCTCTTGCCAAATGTAGTAGTAACCTAGTTTAGTAGATTGCAGTGGAAATACGAAGACATATCTCTTAATTCTTATTTTAATACACGGGAATGAGAATGACCCAAAATAAATTGTCACTTTGCGATAAGAAGTCGCCAATTATTTATAAGTCAAAGCATTAACGGCCTTATACTTTAAGAAAATTCGCCTATAATTAACAATATATTATTAATTGATATTAATAGACGAGACGAGACAAACTTATAATTAAACTAACATTGCCCGCGGCTCCGCACGCGTTCAGATGACCAAAAACCAAATTCTTAGGTTTTACATATTAGTATACTCTTACTATGCAGTTTTTGTATTTTTTCTCAGAAATTAGATATATTTTCCCGCGGTAAAAAGTATCCTTTATGTTGACCCGGCTAACCAGCATCACCACCCAAATTTCATCAAAATTCCTCCAGTGGTTTTTCTGTGATGCAGTAACAGACAGACAGACAGACAAAAATATAAAAACTATAGATTCGGCTACTGTATCGATAATAATTTTTATTTCAATAAGATTTTCCAAAAAATATTTAATGTACAGATACGACTTAGTTAGAATTTTATATGTATAGATTATAATAATAAAAACATTGTCTCAGAATATGCAAAACCTACCTAAAGAGTATTCTATCCTACTAATACCTATTATAAACGAGAAGGTTTGTGAGAATACATGGAATATGGATGTTTCATGTTACTTTGTCATGCAAAAACTACTAAAAGGATTTTGATAATATTTTACAGTAATATACATATACATCAGAGTAACAAATAGGCTATTATATATAAAAATATAGTAATAAACATTTGAACTAACCGCGGTAAAAGACTAATCTCGCCTTTTGGAAGCCTTCATTCTGTACCCTATTTTGATACTCGACAGGTTTGGAAGTAAAAAAATTTTTAATTCAGATTTGCGCCTAAGATTCGCCATTTTCATTTTTAATGATATCGATATACCCTATTATACTCGCATCATCAAAATCGGCTTATAATAAATACATAGGTACTGTAGTGGAATGTGTAACGTCTTTATACTAAAAATAATAATTCAAAATGGCACGTCTTAAGGTGTCTAAACATCCTAAGACGCTTAACAATAAACGAGAAGAACAGTTAAAAGTAAATTGCCGTGAGTGACAGAGAAACAAGGAATTGAGATTAGGTACTTTACTAGAAAATATTCGAATTTTCGAATATGTACTAGAAAGTTTTTAAATGCCGGCAGTGTGTCGAGTGATTAAAGCTTTGAGTTAAATTAAAAATAATTAAAGTTCTGTTTGTACGGGCTAATCTCCGTAACTGTTGGACCGATTTAAATGAAATTTTGCATGGTGGTACCTTATATCCCTTTTCATCCCGGAAAATTAAAAAATTCCCGTGGTGTAGTTAAAAAAACTATAGTAACTTAAACAGCTTAGTACACAAAAACTACTGATTGGATTTTAATGAAACTTTACAATAATATAGTTCATACATATATAACAAATAGGCTACTTTTTATCCCGGAAAAATGTACGGTTCCCTTTGTTTTTCTTTGTGTAGAGGCGAACCTGAGTGAAGTGAGGGTGAGCTGCTAGTGTTTAAAACGCCAAATATCCTCAACTTGAAGTAAAATTCCTGCTCACCCACTATTCAAAGAAATAACATAAAAATGAATAAGTATAAAACATTTACACTATGCAAACATATAAACACGTCAATACATGAAAAACAGTATCGTATAACTAGATTTGCATACTGAAAAATATTATCAATGGGGGCGGCATTTTTTATCAATTTTTCAGCATGTGCACTTTATAGACATGTGTAGCTTCATTGAGTCTAGAACCATGTTACAATACGAAAGTGTGCTTTTTCTAATAGCTATCTGTAACTTGGCATTTGCATTCGAATGTCCTCCCGAAAGGAAGCACATAACGCACCAGGAATCCAAACTCTACAATGACTTGTTATGCGCATATCCGTCTGTCGGTCGGCCTGTAAAAAATCACAAGAGTACTGTTGACGTACGAGTGCGTTTTGCAATTAAGTATCTTAGCTTCGATGCCTTAGAAGAAATCCTTACGCTACAAAGCTGGGTGTTTCTCAATTGGAAGGATGAATATTTAACTTGGTCACCTGTTCATTATGGAGGCATAAAGGAAATTCAAATACATAGCTTTAAAATATGGACACCACGTATGTTTCTATTTAACACCAACTTAAGTGGGTATTGGTTTGTTCATCTATATACAACATGTGTGGTCACCTCAAGTGGAGTGGTCACTTGCGTCCCGCAAATTCCCCATTCTGGTATTTGCCGCACGTCACTTCGCAGCTGGCCTTATGATACACAAAATTGTTCACTTTATTTCGGTTCATTGATGGAGACCGGTGAGCATGTGAACTTTATGTTCTATAATCATACACCGATACAGTTCGACGACTTCCAGGATGGACCCGGCTGGAAACTTTTGAAGACTTATAATGAACGACTGCTAACAAAACACAGCTACAGTACGAACAGTACATATCCTGTACTAAAATACACTTTTACATTGCGGAGAGAAGCAGCCGGTCCTGCGGCTACAATTGTCGCACCCGCGATTGTCATTGTAATATTAACTTTAAAAGGCTTGCTCTCAGAAATTAAGAATAACTCTAGGTTAATGTTGATATATTTCAGTTTATTCGCACATTTTATATTCCTCGCTACGATTGGTTTTGTTATACCTAAGTTTAGTTCTGAGACGCCCAATATTGTACTATTTATTCGAGATTCGATGATAGTGACACTAGCGGGGGTTTTAATCACAATCCTACTTATGTCCTTAAGGAAACGTGCAGATCCTGTTCCAGGGTGGATTTTAACTATTAACAACACTATTAGTTCCAGTCCAGGAAAATACGTCATATTTACTAAATTTGATCCAAATGAAGTACTCGAAGAGAAAAGTAACAGCGAGGGCTCCAGCACTAATAATGATAAGACGCGAGTTGCTTTAGATTGGATACAGTTTGCGAACATTATCAATGCCTTTGTATACATAGTGATATGTCTTACATATTTAATATTTATTATTAGCTATATTCCTAAAGAGTCTTAAAATATTTTTACCTAGTTATGCAATAAATAATATAATATCTAAGTACTAGAATTGTTTTGTTTTTCATAAATAAGACTTTTTTACTATTTATCTATTACAATCATGTATTAATTTTGATAGGCAGCCCGCAGCAGGCGCGGACTAAAAAGTAACTCGGTAACATCGATCCATAATCGATCTCAATTTTAAAGCTCGTTGACCTTTATATTTGAGTTTTCATTTAAGTTTGATGAGAATTAGGAAATATATTAAAAAATAAAATTTAGGTGTACTATAAACAAATCAAATCAGATCAACTTTTCATTGGTATAATCTACATATTATACAGGCTGTATCAGTACCTAGTAGATTAACGGTGGCATAGTAGAAGAGGAATTCACCACTTTTTGATTCAATCTCCATGTATTTTGAACGATTTTTAGGGGTTCGAAAGTTATTTGGATTAAAAAACTGAATACCGAATATTTATAATACTACACTTCGCAAATAGAAAATACAGCCGAAATACGTTTGTGTTTTTCTTCCAATTAGTCCAATAATGGCGCTTTCTTACCAGAATTATAACTTGACAGAATCTTGATCGAATTCAAACAAGTAGCGAATACGTAAAAAAACTTAAAAAAAAAAATAAGAACCGACTTCCAGGCACTAAAATGTAAAAAAATAACTAAACGGAGGTTTTCATTTAGAACAGATACCTACCTAATTAGATATTTTCGAAGTCAGTGCCCGCCGATGCAAAGTAAATCTAATATACCTATTTCGATACGTAAAATATATATTTACCTATTAGATATTCATATCTTAAAATATTGTATTCTGGCACCGATTTTGATAAAATTTATGAGACCACCTGGGAAGTATATACCCTTTTTAACTGCCTCGTTGGTGTAGTGGCTAGCATGTACGGCTGCACACCCGGAGGTCCTGGGTTCGAGTCCCGGGTTGAGCCAAGTTTAGTAATTGAGTCTTTCTGTATAGTAAGCCTCAGTAACAGCCCGGAATTGGGAAGTTGGCGGTGTTTCACCCCCGTGCCTCGGAGAGCACGTAAAGCCGACGGTCCTGCGCCTTAATTCTCACTGGTCGTGTCGAGTGGTCGTCCCACCAGAGTACGAGAGTGACAGGAATAGAGAGTGCACCTGTGTCTGCGTGTACACTTGTGCACTATATTATCTCGAATCGGCCGGGAGAACATCATCATCATATACCCTTTGAAACAAAAAAAATTACATATCGGTTCAGACGTCTTCGAGTAATCGGTGAACATACATAAAAAAAAAAGATTCCGACGAATTTAGGACCTCCTCCTTTTTATGGAAAGTCGGTTAATGAACAGTTTTCATTATTATCATATTTGATTTTCACTCTCGAAAAAAATATTAGATATTTGTATTTTTTTTCACCATTTATATTAAAAACTGCACCAATTTGTGGAAAATTGATATTTCATTAAATAAATCAAATTGGCCAGGTGCTAAAATAGTAGATGCGTAAAATAGATGCCCTATCTATATATAAAGTTTCATTCCAATGAACTATATTTAGCCGCGCTTATGAAATGAAGATGATGATGAATGTATTATGAGTAAAGAATTAGGAGCGCATTCTGTACGGTTTAGGTACTTTCAATAATTTGGCACAGTTTATACTAAAATGTTTTTTTTAAGATTTAAAGTGCACTTTTCTCGTTTCTAACACGAGGTTTTGCCACTTAAGGTATGGTTATTGGTTAGCATAATAAAAGACCTAATGATAATATAAATTAAAAAAAAATGAATAGGCTCCAACAGCTAATCTATTGATGGGTAAGTTTTAAATAATTCTAAAGTCTAAACTTAAACTTTAAGAGAAAAGATTTGATGTTTTGTATGTTTGTATATTTTTTATATTTACCTATATGTTAATAACATGATGATATAACATTTTTAATTTAATTATTATAATTTGTTATTTTATAATACGAAGTTGCCATTCATTAATGTAATATTATGCCAGCGCACATAAAAAAGATAGGGGCGGTTCACTATAATCTCGCGCTCCGGCACCTCGTCCCATTCGATACCTATAAAAATAAAATATTAAATGCGTGTTTATAAGAATATTTTACTTACACTTTTTATATAAAAGTATTTTTTTTATATAAAAAAATACTTTAAATGCGAAATTTGGTATACATTATGTGTATATAAGTGTTTTTTACTCCTTCATGCTGAAAAAGATGAACGAATTTGGATATAACTTAGTAAGCATCAGTTCTGCATCACAGTTTGATTTAGATGAACATATAGACTACCTACTGATGGACACCCAGATAGCGCGTACCCGAGCGAAGCGAGGCGAAGTCTCTAGTTTTTAATAAAATACTATTTAAAAAGTCTAATATTTTTTAAAACTTAATTATTATTATCTGTTATCATATTATATAACGTACTAGCATTGCCCGCAGCTTCGCCCGCATATAGATGAAGAAAAACAAAATTCTTAGGTTTTACATACGTATTAGTATACTCTAACATTGCAGTTTTTGTATTTTTTTTCAGAAATGAGATATTTTCCCGCGGTAAAAAGTATCCTATATGTTGACCCGGATAACCAGCTATCACCATACTAAATTTCATCAAAATCCCTTCAGTGGTTTTTCCGTGATGCGGTAACAGACAGACAGACAGACAAAAAGACAGCCAGACAAAAAATCTAAAAACTATATATTCGGCCTCTGTATCGATAATAATGTCTGTTTCAGTAAGATTTTCCATAAAATATTTAATGTACAGATTCGGCTTAGTTACAATTTAATTATGTATATAGGTTTACAATAGGTGTATCACTGTATATAACCTATTCTTATATGTTTATATTTTTTCAAAACTGTAACTATTCGTCTGTCTGCATTTAATTTGTTAACGGAAAACCAATCGATGTTATTTTTTTGCGCAGATAGTTGGCCCATTGCCAAGAAGTGCTACGTCTGTATATTCATAAGTTGATACGTAAACTTCTATGTCACAGTCAAAATTGGATTGTGTATACATTTTGATTTGTAAGCGTGACTCAAGCAAGAGATACCATTTACTTAATTATTAAATATTTCAACTAATGCTATAAACTTATACATTTTTGTTTACTTATTCCATGAACCAGACACATATAATAAAATTATTATTAAGCCGAATCTGTACATTAAATATTCTTTGGAAAATCTTATTGAAATAGACATTATTATCGATACAGAGGCCGAATCTATAGTTTTTAGAATTTTTATCTGTCTGTCTATCTGTCTGTTACCGCATCACGGAAAAACCACTGGAGGGATTTTGATGAAATTTGGTATGGTGATAGCTGGTTATCCAAGGTCAACATATAGAATACTTTTTACCGCGGGAAAATTTGTTATTTCTGAGAAAAATACAAAAATTGCAATGTAAGAGTATACTAATATGTAAAACTTAAGAATTAGGTTTTTGGTTTTTTGAACGCGGGCGGAGCCGCGGGCAATGCTATTCAAAGATAAGACCCCTAGTGCATTAATGATATTACTTAAATATCTACTACTTTCTATACGAAACGAGGGTTTGCTAGTTTATAAAGATATTAAAAATATTGACAGAAAAACTCAATAAATAAACATGGCCCGACCCAGGAATCAGAATATTTCGATCTGAGGCCGTAAAAGCTAGACCACTGAGGCAATATCATTTTTCTATGACAGTTTACTTTTATATACGATTTGGAAAACGGCTTTAGGATTGACAGGTATGTATAGGTATCTAACTTGCCACGAGATTGCACTATACAATATCCTTCGTGTCTTCTCCATTCTAAGTGATATTGGCGAAGCAATCTGTGCTCAACTAACGCTTTGAAACCATTAACAAGAGAATTGAATTTAGATTGAACTGCAGTGCTTTAACTTTGAAACCAATCACTATAACAATTTAATTGGTATTTTTGACAACCTTTGCATTTAAGAGCATTTCTGTTAAAATCAAGGGACTGCCTCCTGTACAGATTTTATGATATATAGATTTCTCAGAGATGAGATATTTTCCCGCAGTAAAAAGTTTCCTATATGTTGACCCGGATAGTTGGTTAAGCTATCATCATACCAAATTTCATCAAGGCCTCAAATACATTCGGCCTCTATATCGATAATAACGACTAAGTATTTCAATAAGATTTTCCAAAAAATATTTAATGTACAGATTCGACTCAGAATTTTATTATGTGTAAAATACCATCGTCTTTGTAAGCGTTGCGTCCTGGTTCCGACCAAAACATAAGGCGTTGGACTGCATGAGATAGCTTTAGTGTAGTACATGTGTCGTTATTTACCAAACGAGTTATTCCCATCTGTGAATAAAATATATAGTTGAAACGTTTTGCTTACAAAGCCGGTTTTAAATTATATATATATATATATAATTTTGTTCCATTTCAATTGAAGTGTTAAAATAAAAGTTCTTGTGTTTCTTAAAGATATTTTTGCGGATTTGCATTACTGTTTATTTTTGTTTAGTCTACAGCTACTAGTTGTGGTTCCTACTTTATGTGGAACAAGGAACGTAGAACTCTGATTCTTTATCCGAACGATTGAATATGTTTTCGTTCTCACTAGGTTTAATCTATTTGCAACGACCCGACCCCGACGGGTCCGACAACACGGTTGGCTCAGTTTGTAGCAGCCCTACTTGCTGTGCCAGCGGTCGCGGGTTCGAATCCCGCTGAGGACGTTCATTTGTGTGATGAGCATGAATGTTTATACTCCAGTCATAATATATTATAATATAATATGCATGTATTTAAAGTTATATATGTGTAGTGTATCAACTATCTGGTATCCATAACACAAGCCTCGTAGCTTACCATAGAACTAGATGGTGCTGTGTGTTAATGACCTAACATGTTTATTTATTTACTTATTATTTAATAAGTAAATTCCCTACCGGCAATGTCGATATAATAAGGTTTTTGAACCCTCCTTTAATTTATTATTAATTAAAATAAATTAATAAAATATTAAAAACCCCCCAAAACCGCTGTTTAAACATATTTTCATGCATGACAATATTCATTAATGTTATTATCAACTAGCGACTCACCCTCGCTTAGCTCAGGTTCGTCCCTAGGGTGTGTATACAACTTCCGTATTTGAATCGGATATTATTAAATTTTTCATTGGTTTTAAATTGTTTTAGTGGGACCCTATTTTTTTCTAAAATAAAAGTAGCCTAAGTTATTCCTTATTACATCAGCTATCTGCCAATGAAAGTCCCGTCAAAATCGGTTTAGCCATTTCAGAGATTAGCCGGAACAAACATGTTGTTTTGGTACATGTATCGTGTATATGTACATCCATATGCATTTAGTAAAATTGACATTTCAAACAGACACTTCAATTTAATTTATCTGTATAGATTTGTTTTTGAGTAATGTTACCATCGTATAAATATTGACAAATATTGACATTAATATTTATACGATACTAACGTCACTCAATTGTTTTGCCTTCCCGGAACCTCTCCACTAACACTTAAACTTTATGGTATGGTATTAAAGTTCAAATTGACTTTTAAGTATTATTGCGAATCTTTTGTATGGGAGTATAGAAGTGTTGTTTTTAGATTTTTTCAGGCTAATTTTTAAATTTTTCTCTCCGTAAGAACCATCCTCGTACTTCAAAGAATATTCTAAAAAAGGAATTAGCGAAATCGGTTCAGCTGCTCTCGAGATTTGCGCTTAGCAACACATTCAGCAATTCATTTTTATATTATAGAAGATTATTTTAAACATAATACATACATACATATTACCTAATACCTTATGCATATGTGATATAATATAATTAAAAAAATATATATAATACTCCATTAATAGCTACCACAGTAACACGTCTCAATCTAAACACAAAAAAAACTTTTTTTAATTCCAACCTGGGCTTCAGGTTCTTGGGTGGTGCTTGAAAATAACAAAACATAAAAATTATTCGATCAAAGTAGTATTGTTGATCGAAGTAAAAATCTGTAAATATAGACATCTATTATATTCTAACATATATTAAACAAATAAAAAATATAATTTTGGGCCAATCAACAAACCTTACGAAGTTTCTCTGGTAACAGCAATGTCATACGCAGCGTATAGAGTGGTATAGTTGCAGCTATCCTCATAGTGCTCATCTTATCAGATATCTCGTAGGGGCGTATTCTGGCCATCGCAGCGGCTAACTTTTTGAGGGAATAACTCTTAGGCACCAGTAAGAGAAGGGTTAAGCCCGGTGTAGCATAGTTAATTTCAATAGCCTACAAATAAGCGGAAAAAAACTTTATTAGACCGTAGACGACTGTGGACGTTAATGAACAAGTTTTTTTGATAATGAAACAGTAAAAAATACAGATTTAATTACAAGTGAAAGTAATAATCATAAAATTATTTTCGTCTTATGCCATGGGTATTGTTATATTTAAGTGCTTAGGTTTAAAGTACTCATCAAAACATATGTATAACCAAAAGTAGGTAAATTACAAGTCTCGTTGTTATCAATATCATGAAAAATATCGAATAACTGGGTGTCAACACGTTTATCGATGGGGGCGGTGTTCTGTATCAAATTTTCTGCGTGTGCACTTTACAGGCGTATGGTACTGTTTCATTGTATCTGGAACAATGTTGCGGTACGGTGGTGTATTTTTTCTATTAGTCATCCCTAAGTTAGTGATTGGTTTTACGGATTGCCCTCCCGAACGAGAGCACGAAGTGCACAATGAAGCTAAGCTCCACAATGACTTATTATGCGCATATAACTCCGATTATCGTCCTGTGCAAGACCACAAAAATACAATTAATGTACGTGTGCGATTTGCTCTTAAATATCTTACTTTCGATGCCACAGAAGAAATGTTTACGCTACATAGTTGGGTGGCCTTAAATTGGAAAGATGAATATTTGACATGGACACCCAATGATTACGGTGGTATAACGGAAATCCAATTAGAGAGCCACGAAATATGGTCTCCGCGCATGGCCTTGTTCAACGCAGATGCATCATCCTATCCATCGGATTCCTTTTATACAACATGTTTAGTCAATTCCAGTGGAACGGTTACTTGCGTCCCGCAGGTAGTACATTCGGGAATTTGTCGCACATCTCTTCGTAGCTGGCCTTACGATACACAAAATTGTACACTCTACTTCGGTTCGTGGATGCATACTGGCGAGCAAGTGAACTTTACGTTTTATAATCATAACCCGATAGTGCTCGATGACCACCAAGATGGACCCGGCTGGAAACTCTTGAAGGCTTACAACGAACGTCTACCGGGAAAATATAGCTGCTGTCCAAATAGCACATATCCTATGTTAAAATACACTTTCACGTTACAGAGGGAAGCGGCCGGACCTGCGGCTATTGTAGTCATTCCATCGATCGCCATCGTGATATTAACATTAACAAGCATGCTCTTAGAAATTAAGGATAACACCAGGCTAATGTTGATATGTTTTAGTTTATTTGCACATTTTGTATTTCTAACAGAAATTGGATTTATTATACCTAAATTTAGTTCTGATACGCCCATTATTTTGCTGTTTATTCGCGATTCGATGTTAGTGACTCTAGTAGGAGTCTTAATAACATTTTTGCTGATGTCTATAAGAAAACGTGCTGAGCCTGTTCCAGGGTGGATTTTAACTATCAATCACATCATTACTTCCAGTCCAGGAAAATACGTGATATTTACAGAATTTGATCCAAATGAAGTACTTGAAGAGAAAAATATCACTGAGGGCTCCAGCACTAGTAATGACAAGACGCGAGTTGCTATGGATTGGATACAATTTGCGAACATTATCAACACCTTTGTATTTATAGTGATATGTCTTACATATTTAGTTTTAATCATTAATTACATTCCCAGAGACTCGTAAAATTCTAAAACACATTATAACTAGGTTATAACTGAACCTAAGGTCTACCAATGATAATACGCTGTCATTTTTTAAGAACAATTATATCTAAGCCTTTTTACAATAAATAATAATAAGAAAAATAAACTTATATATTATACAGATGGTTGTTTATTAGAAGCTTTTATATAACCTCACATGTATATGAGTGGGTATGTGCGGGATAAATAATTATTATATTATATTTAAGCCTTTAGTTTTGGTGATAGTGTACGATAAGCTAAATAACATTCTAGTTCCAAAATGACGGACATGATGATCACTTACTATTTCCACAACGACTCCTATGATATGGGTATCAAATGAAGGGGTCGCCGAGTGAAACATAATAATAGTTTTATTTAGTACACTGTACATAACTAGTAAAGGTTTGTTTTAAAAAATATTTTCTTAAAACTAGATTTATTTTCGAAAACAATAAATTAGAACTTACCTCGGCATTCAATTCCTCGAGAGCAGCATATCGCATGATATCATTCAACCTAATCATGCGAACCGACCGATCTGGCTTAACTTTCTCGGAGTCATAAAACGGTTTAGTTCCATTGAGGACTGTGGGTGCCGACCGCCAGGACGCGCGAATATATGACGTCATTATCAAAATTGAGCAAATTTTAATATTAAGATCGTCCTCTTCGAAAGTGTTTCGCAAAGCTCCCGCTGAGTCTATTTCTACCTGATGTTAAATAGAAGCTATTAGAATATTTTTAAAATATATTCCATATAAATATTATAAATGCGAAAGTTTGGATGGATGGATGTTTGTTACTCAGTCACGCCAGAACGGCTGAACGGATCTGGATGAAATTTGACGCAGAGATAGATTATAGTCTGAAATAGCATATAGGTTAGTTTTTATCCCGGAAAAAGTCCCGGTTCCCGTAGGATAGATTTGTTATTCTTTGCAAGGAACCGAGTATCTATTCCCTATACTACCTATTAAAATGTATCTAGGGACGAACCCGAGCAAGCGTGAGTCGCTAGTACTATAACTAACATTTTTATTAACACGAAACTATCATTTATCTCAAATATTGTCTTTAGTCAGCTAGTAATTATATTTTTAAAATATTCATTATTAAATTAGAAATACTTAAACTTAGGTAAATTTGTAGATAATAAGCAAGTACCATACTATTTAAAGTCCTGGTTAAATATTCAGATGTTTCGGTTCCATTCAATCGTATTATTTTCATATTCATTACTTTAGCGGCGCCTTCCTTGAAACTCTGGCTAACTGGCAACCTTGCGTTTACCAATAGGCGGGAAGCCCATCGAAATTTCAAATTTTGGCTTGAAAGTGGGAACCACGATGTGATAGTTTCTAATGTTCTTACATGCTCCTAGTTATAAATTAAACATTATATCAAATTTCGATTAAAATATGAAAATTCTGTATCTTAAATATAGTCCTATACGAATTACTATACTAAATGTTTGTTGTATGTTTTTAAAAACACAATATGTTAAGTAAAAGTAGAACAATTCTTATAATAATTCAAAGTAAAGTATAAAGTGCATTATTTAGTTTTATTATATAAATTTACTGCACGTTCGAGGTTCAATAAAAATTGCTAAGTCCAATATGGTAGGTGTATTTTATGCCATATTGACATACTTAGTAATTACTATGTAAAATATGAATTAATTTAATTACCGTAGTATTTGCCTTTATATCCAAGATTGTTACAATCTCTGACTTCGTAGCTGAATCTACTGCTGTAGATAACACCATAAGCGCCATGTACAAAAACAGCCCTGTCTGGGCGAAACTTATCCCGTTCTCTTTACGATCTTGTGGACTTATTGAAGTTAATTTATTAAAACTTACCTAAAAATATAATAAAATGATTCAATGTTCGTACTAGTCTTAACTCTTAGATCTTAATGAAATATTAGGTTTATTTAAACTGAAAAACTTTCATCTTTATTACGTATACTAGCATTGCCAGCGGCTCCACCCGCGTTCAGATGACCAAAAAACAAATTCTTAGGTTTTACATATTAGTATACTCTTACATTGCAGTTTTTGTATTTTTCTCAGAAATGAGATATTTTCCCACGGTAAAAAATATCCTTTATGTTGACCCGGATGACCAGCTATCATCATACCAAATTTCATCAAAATCTGTCCAGTGGTTTTCTCAATAATAAAACAAATTAATTCATAGGTCACGTTAGCGGTTAGTCGTACGTTTAAGTCATGAAGAATATAGACTAGGAGTTCAATCTTCATAAGATTCCATTTGAAATAATCCGTCCACATTTTTTTTTAGAGCTACAGTTCCAGAAAATGCCACGAATCTCGCTGATTTACGTAGTTACCAGGTGAATTTAGCTTTATATTAGTACCTAGCGCCAATTAAGTGATAAACAGATCTGTGTGAATTTAATGATTGGTTCATTAATTTCATTCACATTGATTTGTTGGAAATATTGGAAATGACTTTTTATTTTTTAATAAAAGTGCTAATTAATTATAGTTCATAGTCAACAAGGAACCCTTATAATTTCGCCATGTGCGTCCGTCCGTCTGTCCGCAGCTTAGCTAAGAGACACATAGTACTAAAAACCTGTAATTTGCCATGGATATATTATAATTTATTTTATCACGCCGACAAAGTGATAAAATAAAATCTTGAGAATATTTTTTTAAGCTATCTCCTCTACATAAGAATGAGGATCCCTTTTGGGACATAGTGACTGCAGCTCTCCCCACTATTATTTTTTCAAATTATTGGGACAACTTTTACATACAAAGATTGGATCCCTTGTCTATGTTCTTCATTGTTTAAGTTACTGAGTTACGTTTACCTGATAAAATAGATTCTCAAATCTATCTAAAGATGTTGTGAAGATATTAGAAAGAGAATATCTTTTGTTCAGGTCATCTTTTTCGTTGTTAAGATAAAAATATTTAAGTCTTGAATTGTTTGAAGTGATTTGGTCGTTATTTTGATTTGCATGCTTAGATTGATATAAATTGTCTAGATATTTATGTCTTCGTGCAATTAAAATCTGAAATGGTCTAAGGGACTTATCAAATGGTCCCGTCTGGTTATCTTTACGAAGCTTAGGCCAATGCGAATTATAGAACAGGTGCGACGGTCTTGATTTATCTTCTTCAGGCTTAGGATACGCTGTATTGGGTGGAGCATTAGAGCAGCTTATCCATTTATTATTATACCAGCATTTTTCATTAAAACTCTTCTCTAATATTTCTTGAGTGGCATAAGTTTGCGGAAAGGGCCGTAAGTGAAACATAGAGTAATTGTAGTCTTTGAAACTGACACATATCCCAAGAATGAAAATAAATACATAGCAACTAATCATACCTATGGATAGTGATTTGGAATAAAATATTAAAAAATCATATTTTGTTTATAGATTTAATAAATTCACACTCACTTCTACAGTTACTGAGAGTTGTTATGCGACTGTTAGATTTAAACTTATCAAGAAGTAGAAAATAGGTTCTGTTCCGCATAATATCAACTTAATAATGAACAAGTGCTACTAATTAATTCAGTGCACGATATAAATCAACAATGATTACACCAAACATACAATGTTAACACAGTACTTGCACTTGGATATGGTTGAGCGATATTATATTGAGTGCGACCGCCATCAAACAATAGTAAATTAACGTTTTAAAGCGTTCAACATTGGCCTGCCACACTAGGAAAAAGAGCGACTTAATCTATGTACCTACGAGTACATAAAAAGAACACATACTTATAGTAATAATCATTTTTTATAGCCATAAAATGAACGGACCGGTGGTGTTCACCGGTGGTAGGATTCTGTCAAGCCTGAGGAGTCCGACTAGATGGGTACCACCTCCTTAACTATTTCTTCCGCAAAGCAACAATGATTGCATTGTTGTGTTCCGGTTTGAAGGATAAGGTAGCCAGCGCAATTACAGGCAAGAGGCATATCATCTTAGTCCTCACAGTGATAACGTTCCGGGGGTTCTGCAGTTTTGGAACATAAAACCTAAGCGCATGAACCGTAGGTGTTATGGGCGACAGGTACCGCTTTCCTTCAGATGGGCTGTCAGCTCGTTTGTGACTGAGTACCATAAAAAAAGGAACAGTGAGCAGATCCTTACATACATGAGCAGGTAGTCTACTATGGTAAGTCGTATAGCTACAGTGGAAAAGGTCAATATGACTATCTCATTAGCTAGTTAAGAGCTGTCCTGGATTCGATTTCCGGCCAAGGCAGACAAGAGTAATTTGTTTTTTTTAGGTCATGCAAATCTTAATAGCAGCCTGGAAGATAACCTTTCCAACGTACTATAACCCAGAGAAGAGGGAATCTTGTGCCTAAATGTAATTTTTTGAACCTTTAGTGAAGTCGAGTCCCAGGCCAAGTATAGTAAAGGTGAAACTACATCGGCGGGGATAAGTCTACTATCTACTACTTACACAAAATTTCAATTAATTTATGCATATATGTTGAAATTTTACAAAAAAAAACTAAGAGGTATATTTAATCCAAAAAGTAGTGGTTTTCTTGCATATTATTGTACACAAAAACGGGTGATTGGCTGTGAATTCCGGATCTGTATTTGCCGACAATCTTTGTACCGCCATCACTGTAAACAGTAGGTAGGATATAGATATACCTACAGGATTTCTTTTACTTCTACATAATATGTGTATAAATCTAATCTAATCTTTCGACGACAAGTTTGGCTCAGTTTGTAGTGACCGTACTTGCTGTGCCAGCGGTCGCGGGTTCGAGTCCCGCAGGGGGCATTCTTTTGTGTGATGAACATGAATGTTTGTACTCCAGTCATGGGTGTTTATATTTATAATATGTATGTATTTAAAGTTATATACATGTAGTGTAGCAACTATCTGGTATCCATAACACAAGCCTTTTAGCTTACCATGGAACTAGATGGTGCTGTGTGTTAATTAATGTCCCAACATATTTATATTTACATATTTTAAATACAAATAAATCTTATAAGTCGCGTCTTGTTGATGTAGAGTATGTTTCTTCTACATATATAGACGAAGACAAAACTTTGCACTCCTTGTGAAAAATATTGCGTGTACGGGGGAGTATGAATGAGCTTGCGCATCGTTAGTTTATTTGGAGAAGGAATGCACAAAGCACAATTTACTAACATACTCTTGCCCACGGCTTCGCTTGCTTAGATTGGTTATGTATAATTACTCCGCTTCTAAAAGCTGAAACATGAAATTCAAACAACCTTCATCAATATAAAATCTGAAAATTTGGTTGTCTACACGTAGGTATACCACGGAAGTCAGACTTTTGATTTTAAAAAATCTTTTCGCATTTTATAGTATCATATTGAGGAAGGTTTTAGGCTACCAAGTAATTATGATTTATGACAAAAGATCCTCAATAACGTTCAAACTTAATGAATTATAGTCGATTATCGACTATATTATCTGTGGTAATCACTAGTGGTGTGTTAAAAATATTGTTTATGGGCTAGTTATAGTAAAAACAAAATTATTTTTTATAAGCTTTATTTCTTGTTTAATCTGTATTTTATAAACAATATTAAAATATATTTATTTGTACATAGATATTTTAAATAAAATGTATATAATAATATTCTTATATAATAAATGTGCAACTGGTGTCAACAATAACGTTCAAAAATAGGTACGTACTTCTAAATTGCTAAGGTAGCGATTACTACGGAAATGGAAACACACCGCAATCTCATACCTACTTGATATTATGTTTCAGTTCAAGGCTATAAATCGTTTGTAGTACTTATATATAATAATCGCTTCTTGTTCTTCATATCAAATTTAAAAATACCAATCGACATAAAATGTATCAGAAATATACTTAAAATATTTTCTTTAATATTTAATTTGCTTAAATTCAATACTTTTAATAATATTATAAATGCAAATGTCCTAACTTACTATTTGTCATTATTCACACATCAAAGAACTGACGTGTTTTTTCCATAAAATGGCATAGACGCTTTATCCCTATATGTAAAGAGGTAGGTACTTCAAAATAGCCATTTACTGCAAAAAGTTTCATGGGGGCGGATCACTAATTAATTATACTTGAATCTGAACGATTAAATACGATAATAGCTACACTATAGATCATTTTACTGTTATAAAACAATTTTATAAACTGCTGCTGCGCTAAAAATATTACAAGAGCAGATATCAAGATATGAAAGTAACTGAAAATAAAGCCAAGTGACGTTGAATTTTATCACATAATCAATTTATTTCCCACGGTGCGTAGCCGTGAAGTACAAAGTGTCGTGGGCTACGATGGCAGCGAGGAATGGGCGGTCCGCTATGAAATGAGGCACTTCTGGCTCTCCAATCACCATGGAACAACATTCGATGCTCATCACTGCAATATAAACAGCTCCGTCATATCGACCAACCAACGAAATTACTCTCTATATATTCCAAATATCTTGAATGAGACATAAAAAGCCAAAACACAATAGCTATTAATCATTTTGCTCGCACAGAATGCGATGATATCAGCGGTAGAGCGATTCGTGACAACAATTATCAAGTATGTTACGGTATTTATTGATTTAAAACGATTTACAATGCCATTAAAACAAAATTGCTTTTATATCAAAACGTCATTATATTAAAGCCTTACTGATCCAATACCAACTAATTAGCCCCTTATTAGAACTTTAAACGTCTATTGGGTTTTGATTTATTTTGTTCTTATGGTCTGTACCCACAGGATTAGAAAAAAATATATTTCTTTGGGCACGTTTAATTTTGTTACAACTTGTGTATTCGAATGCAATTCAATAATAGCGTATAATTATTTTAATACATATTTACGAAGATTTACATAATATACTAGTTGTAATTTGTAAAATTAAGTATTTGTGAATTTATCTGTTTTTAAGATACTTAAGTACATTTTGTTAAGATCATAGACGTAGAGACTGATCCTGATCCCTGACACTAATCCCTCAGCAATACTCTCATGAAATTGTTTACTCTCTAGAAAGAGAGAAAGCTACCGTGCGGCCAATACCTGTCTTTTATTCCCATTTAAATTTATAAATGGAATGTTAAAAATATATAAGACAGTGTAATAGAAAAAACTGATTATAAATGTTTATATTAACTTTATCGTATTTTAATCAATAAAGAAGGATTCTGTCAGCACATTCATTTTATCTCTGTCGCGCCTTTCCGTCATTTATATTTTATAGATGGCAAAGAAACACTCAGTCCACTCTCTATGTCTATGGTAAAAACTTTCCATACAAAATGGGCTACTTGACATTTGTGGTATTGCCAGTATTAGTAAATTATTACACAGTTTCATACCAACATATGTATAGCTAGCAATAAGTATAATTACACTTTTAAACATTTAACTTTCAATTTCTACTACACGATGTGTTTCCATAAAATACCTACAGGATCTTTAAGAATCGATTATCAAACATTTCAGTGAGTACTTTCAACAAGGCATTTTATAGTAGTGTTTTCATGCAATTAATTAGTGTTATGAGTTTCATAAACAATTAACAATGATTAATCTTAAAATTAATAGAATATATTTATATCAGTGCAATATTGAGGGTGAAGTAGATCGTTCTAGCGTCTAGCGTCCACGATATACGCCGACGAAGAGCTCGGTGGTGCCGTGTAGGAGCGCGTAGAAAAAGGGGCGATCAGCGCGGAAGGCCGGCGGGGGAGGACGCGCGCACCGCAACATCATCACCACCGTGCCTGCGCACACACGCGATACCGTCAACGTTATCAAAACGACAAAAGAAAAAGTTCGGCACAAATTCAGAATTGGGGACTTGGCCCCTAGCGGAGTGGGTGGTATTGCTGGATAAGGGACGTGATAGGGACTCGAAATGTTAAATAAATTTTTTAATACAACAAAAGATTCAAAAGTTATTGAGACTTAAAGTTACAACATTTCCATACATTTTCATATATTTCTTTACCACCATTCGGAGTGGGTGGTATTTTTAGATAGGGGAGGTGACAGAGAGTCAAAATATATTAAAAATATTTGGAGGAAACGTACGACTAAAAAGTTATTGAGACTTAAAGTTATAACATATCTAACACATTTCCATACATTTCTTTACCTAAATAAGTGATTACAACAGATAAACATACCTTTAACGAATAGTACGCATCCTTTTTTATGTACATTACACATTTTCACAACAATTAATGCTTTATTGTATTTAATATTTTAATAATTTCACAACACAAACAAAATGATCTTAC